AAATAATTTTCAATATTGATGCTGAGACAACAAACTTCCTAAGCTCGTATCAATCAGACCCGTGAAGATCCGGGTTAGAAGTTGTCTTCAGCAACCTATGCTTGTCGTAAGTGGCGACTAACGGGATTTGGTGGTGAGGCTCGCTGACTTGGTTGATGTAAATCATTGTATCCCATTGTATTATGATGTAAATCACTGGATTGTCTGGTCCAGACTCCATTATTTACAGATCGCCGTCTTATAGCTGGAATATTGCTGAGTGCAGCGTTAAACAACAAACAAACAAAACAAATCGTATCAATCAACCATCCAGACAGGCTTTGATCAACTCCATCAACTTCGTCAACCTCCATCACACCGTCTGACACCTCCAAGTATACAAGGCACAGATTAGAGGTGTTATAACGCATATTCAAATCCGTTTATGTTTGTGTAAATGTGTAAACTGGCGATGAACACTGATTTCTATAAACGCCACTTCTCTAAAGTCCATACTTATATTATATATATAAAACACTTGTGATAAACACAACTTTTCAAATCAGTCTGTCTGAACCAAAACAATACAAAGACTGGATGATTTGTTTGTAAGTGTAAACCTGTTATTATCACTCTTATACAAGAACTGTTACACATACTCATTCAAGGAAAAATGCAAGAACATTTTTTTCTTACAAAGTGATCACCTGAGTATTTGAGTGACAATTTAAGGCAAGAGTTACCTCTCTTCCCACACTGACATATTCCTCAAGAGAAAGGAACTAATTACCAAACACATTGGTTTAAACATATCTATTTCGTTATTTATGACTGGATCGGCACAAGCTGTCCTTATATTATTTAACGCCTTTAACGCCTTTTGTCAGTAATATTCAATCAATATCACAGCGGATAACTCCAGGAATGGGATTCACACTTTGGACTCATTTGTGGGGTTGGGGTGGGGTGGGGTTGGGTGGGGTGTGGTGTGGTGGGGTGGGGTGGGGAGGGGTGGGGTTTGGGGGGCTGTGGTTCTGGAGGAGGTGTGTTGATGTACATTCAAGGTTTATCTAGAATGTGTGAGGTTATCACTGTGATTCGGGGTAAAAGTGTTTGAAGTGTAGCATCACACATTCGGGACGATACACTAGGTGTGAGGTTGGGACTGTAATTGTGGGAGTAAAGAATTTGGATGAAGTGTATGATTTATATACAAAGTTTGGGGGTGTGGACTGTGATATACCTCAAGGATGAAGTCTATACCTCCTATGTTCAGGCCCCGTGAAGATTCCGGGGTAGAATATGTCTTCAGCAACCCATGCTTGCCGTAAAAGGTGACCCTGCTTGTCGTAAAAGCGTCTAACGGGATCGGGTGGTCAGGATCGCTGACTTGGTTGATGCATGTCATCGATTCCAATTGCGTGGATCGATGCTCATGATATTAATCACTTGATTGTCTGGTCCAGACTCGATTATATACAGACCGCCATCATATAGCTGGAATATTGCTGAGTGCGGCGTTAAACAACAAAGCAGCCAACCTTCCACAGTGATGATATTGCATATTACCCGTTATTATACAAAGACTGATCTAAACTAAGGAAAGAATACATCCATGTTTGATGATGGTAAAAGTGAAACAAACAAGAATTTTTTATTAAACGGTGATGTATTTGATATGGGTATCATAGTTGTGTTTTAGACCTGAAGTTTGCAGACTTTCGGTGCCTGTTTTCAAATGTATCCGCACCTTTCCATTGGCCGCCAGTTTAGATGTCACGGTTAGCCTGTCATACAGACCCTGAAACAAATATATCCAATACGGCCCAGGCAAGTCTATACCGTTTGGCAAGTCTAGATTACTGCAGTATCTGAAAATGAAGAAAGTCTCTGGCCCCCTTTTTATTATATTTGTATAATTTAATTATATATTTTTTCTGTGAAATATGTTCATTTCAGAGACTAGATGTTAGTTTAATGTCGCGGTATAACCCAAATGTTTAATTTTGTGGCACACATGGATTAACGCAAGTGTGAAATGCAAATCTTATGGACGACTAGCATAGTTATAATAATTCAGTCACACAAACACGCTAAACAATCATTGTCAATTTCACCACAGGCGCAGTAAGTGCTGTCTGTCAAATCTGTCTGTCTGTTAACAAGATTCCATCAGCTACCCACATACCCCCAGTGACATGCCCTAATACTAGAAATACCAACCCAGGGGGAGACCGACTCTACACTAGGGCCGGACTGTCTGAATGCAATTAACATGATGAGATTGACAGCTATAGACAAGGCCCCCTCCAGACCAGCTGGGTGGGGTACATTTGTCAATGGCAGTTCCCCTCACAGTTTGCACGAGATGGAAAAGACAGCTGGGGGTGTTTATGCGTCCCCCAAATGTTGTTTGAGAATTGACCAGATTGTTTTTGTGTGTTTACAGTGACATTAATCACGCTTTGGAGTTTGACATGGACATGTCTGAAATATCATTCAGAGTATGTTGGCGTGTTCTGTTTATTGAATCAAGTTGATATCAGTTTGAGGGGAGTGACAAATATGAGTTGAGGATTCATTTTAATTTGAAACAAGTTATGCACATCCTAAGATTCCAAAGCACTAATACAGAGTTAATGTTAAAGTGATTCATTGTAATACTACAGTATACACCCACATTGGGAATAAATCTAAAATTAAATGAAACTTAATTTGTCTTACATTTTATCATATCTGTTCATGTTCTTGAGAAGGAGGAGTACATAATTCTATATATAAGTGAATTTAATATTTATGTAAATTATATAAAATATACCCACGCTCATAATAATAGTCACCTCCATACAAAGACGCATATATCGTTATACATTTGATTTTATGTCTTGTGTCTCGTAGGCCATACCTGGTCGGATGTTATTTTATTGTCTGTGTGCGTGTTTCAGTATGAAGTGTATATAACATGTGACACTATAGAAACATACAAACAATCAAATGTAGAACCCAGGCCTATGCTAAATCATTTCTTCCGGATACGATTAACCTGTGGAACACTCTACCAAATGAAGTTACTAATGCTTGCTCATTCAGATCCTTAATTAATCGTTCTGATACTATTATTAATAATTGAGACTTAAAATACGGTCATAGATCATGTCAAATTGTCCACTGTCGCCTTAGGCTCGGGTGCAGTGACTTAAACGCTGATAAGTTTAGACGACATGTATCAGACATACCAGACTGCATTTGTGGATATCACTTTGAAGATGCAATTCACTTTTTCTATACCAGTCAAAAATACGATAATATCAGAAACAATATGTATTTCTACACACATGGGTATGATTTAAAAACGATATTACATGGCAGTAGTTTAGTCAGCAGTTCTACAAACATGACTATTCTTCAATCACTTCAATTCAAAAGCAAAAGATTTGAGTAGCTTAATTTTTGCATGTAGTAATGGAAAACTGCATTATCTTATTTCACAGACACCACTTGTATTGGCTTCATGTATTTCATTTGTGCATTTAGTATGTTTATGTTTACCACTATCTTATATATAACCAGCTGTTGTAAAGTTATTACCTAGCAAGTTTTGCTTGTTTATCGATCCAGATTTCTTTTGAAATATAAATATGTCTAAACCACACTAAAGAAACATTCTCTCTCTACGTGGTTCGAGTAGATATGTACAATGCCCGTCCAGTATGACCTATGAGACACTAAAGTCTTTAAAATGCGCAAAACATATATAGATTAAAAGGAAACACTATAAGTGACAAAAAAAGAAAAAAGAAAAGGAAAAAAGCAACATCAGTATAGACACGCCTAAGCCACCCAGTCCCAAGTCTGCCTGTCCGTCCGTGTATCTATACTCCTACCTGAAAACAGGCATCCCCAACTACCTTTTTACTTGGTTTAAACACATTTTTATTTCAAAAGAAATCAGGATCGGTAAACAAGCAAAACTTGCTAATGTAAATACCTCTCCAGGTAATAACTTAACAACAGCTGGTTATATATAAACATAAACGTACTAAATGCACAAATGAAATACATGAAGCCAATACATCCACTGCCATGTAATATCGTTTTTAAATCATACCCATGTGTGTAGAAATACATAGTGTTTCTGATATTATCGTATTTTTGACTGGTATAGAAAAAGTGAATTGCATCTTCAAAGTGAAATCCACAAGTGCAGTCTGGTATGTCTGATACATGTCGTCTAAACTTATCAGCGTTTAAGTCACTGCACCCGAGCCTAAGGCGACAGTGGACAATTTGACATGATCTATGGCCGTATTTTAAGTCTCAATTATTAATTATTGTATCAGAACGATTAATTAAGGATTTGAATTCTTCGAATAAGCGAGCATTAGTTCCTTCATCGGGTAGAGTGTTCCGCGGGTTAATCGTATCCGGCAGAAATGATTAAGCATAGGTCTGGGTTCTACATTTGATTGTTTGTATGTTAGTTGGTTGGTTGGTTTGTACTCAGCAATATTCCAGCTATATGACGGCGGTCTGTAAATAATCGAGTCTGGACCAGACAATCCAGTGATTAATATCATGAGCATCGATCCACGCAATTTGGATCGATGACATGCATCAACCAAGTCAGTGAGCCTGACCACCCGATCCCGTTAGTCGCTCTATTACGACAAGCATAGTAAACCTGTTACGGCAAGTATGGGTTGCTGAATACCTATTCTACCCCGGAATCTTCACGGGTATGTTTGTATGTTAGATCTATTTCTAAGGTTATAATTGCTATTATCAGAGACTTGACCAGTGATCGTTGAGATATGCAGGTGAAATACCGTTCTTCTTTTTGTAAAAACCTACTTACTTACACAATCATCTCACGCACAGCTGATAACAATGACTGCTTTTCTTAGTAACTGAACACCTTTCTATCAACATCAACTGCACAACACTGTTGACCACATATATATTTCAAACTATCATCATCCTCGTGTAAGTTTCTCAAACCAAAAACAAATAAAGCACGGGCATTATTTATTGCATATAGCGACGTTTCAATGTCGTTCTCACGCCCTTTCATATACAGTGAAACCTCGTTAGTCCGGAAACGTGGCATCTGGATTAACGAGGTTGTGCTCACCAGACTGAACACATAAGGCAGTACTGTTGTAACCGTCGGTATTTTTTCATCCGCGGGACTTAGTCTTCACAAGAATGCATCTTTTTTATTCCCTCGGCATATAATGCGGGGGTCATTGTCATCATCTTGTCCGTCCGTCCGTCCGTATTTCTTCTCGGCGCATAGCTTGAAAACCGTAAAAGATATTTCATCCAAACTTGGTACAGGGGCTGAAGTGGTGCATTTTGCTATTTTGGGGGCCGGGGGATTGTCATCTTGTTTTAATCAGAATAAGTAAGCATCGCCAATGTTGTTTGATTCACACATATGCAATAGTTTTCTAACAGTAATATCGGGTGGAGAATATATTACAGAGCGAAACAAGCCGTACGTGAAAGGTAATTAGTTTTAAGTCCCGGAGAATGAGAATATTTTGGGGTAAACAAAACAGCTTGATGTCAGGTTGATGTCGAATGGTTTATAAATAATTCTTTTCATCAACATAAACCTTCCAAATAAACATATTAAACGGGGCCGTTGCATTAACAAAATCCATTGTATTCCGAAGGAAGCTGGGCAAGTTATTTACTGTAAACCAGAGGTAGCCATTGGTGTCGAAAGCAAAGCTGTCAACCCATTTCATGTTCGTGTCATCCTTCGCCACCAGAGTCTGTGTTGTCATGGTTACGTCGTCAACAGACGCCGCATTGGCCATGTCTTTAGTGAAATCCCATTTGTAGACAGCATTCAAACCCAACGCTCCGTAAAACAAACTTTTACTTCCAGCCATCATGCCACCCGTCTGGGAAACTTTGCTTCCTAGGTCTTTCACAGATGTGCCAATGTCGCCATTTTCTTGCGCAAGCACTGACGTGGGAACACGAAAGAGTTTCATTGATGCCAAGGAACAGTAGTAAAGATACCGGAAGTCGGGGGAAAGAGCAATGCCATCTATCGGTGTATGCGTCTCGAATTGCGTGTGGTCATAATCGATAATGGTAGATGGGCCGCTCTCGGCTAACATGCTCCTGTGTGCAAACGTGTACGATTTGTCCCTTCTGAAATCATAAACAACAAGCCTGGTTGTTCCAGGATCCGTGATGTAAGCAAAGGCAGGCTTTCCTGAAATTTTATGAACCACGATGTCGTTCAGGAACGTCCGCATCTTTGGAGCCACGGCTTCAGGAAAATGATGAACTCGAATAACCTTGTCCTTGTTTATATCGTAGATAACTAGCTTAGGAGGACACAAGTACTGTCCCGGGTCGGCGATACGCTGTAAGCCAGTGTCAATAATCCACATCCACCCAGTTAAAGGATCAATCTCAAGACTCTGAGAGTACTGGATAGCTGAACAGTCCCCCACAGTCTGCATGGCCCAGCTTGGGAAGGGTCTGAGGATTGCCTTCCCATCCTTTACCACGACTACATTGAGAGAAGACGGAACGCCTTTCCTCGAACGAGGAACCGTCACGTACACACTTTCGTTGTAGACCTTTATGCCGGAGATGTGGTTATTTTTTATGATGAAACTTCCGTTTTTGATGAATTCCTGTTTGGCTGAACTGTTCGGCCATTCATAGTCTAAGGCATGCCATTGATACACTATGGAGGAATCCACAAACCTGTGTCCGAGAATGGCGATCAGGAGGATTGTAAGTGCCGACATGCTCACAGTCGTAAGGTAGAGAGTCTGGTTTGGTCTCAGTCGTAAGCAGGGCTGGTGCCATCTGCTGTGGGTTCATACCTTATCTATTAGTTGCGCAATGACATAAACAATTTTCAGTACCATTGTCGAAACATTATCTTATATACCCACGAGCATGAGAACCAACACCGTGTCGTGTTGATTTCATATCTCAAGCTTAGAATTCTAAAGTCATCGTGACCTGTGAAGATCCGGGGTAGAATAGATCTTCAGCAAACCATGCTTGCTGTAAAAGACGACTATGCTTGTCGTAAGAGGCGACTAACGGGATCGGGTAGTCAGGCTCGTTGACTTGGTTAATGCATGATATCGTATCCCAATTGCGTAGATCAATGCTCATGATATCAGTCACTGGATTGTCTTGTCCAGGCTCGATTATTTACAGACCGCCGTCATATAGCTGGAATATTGCTGAGTGCGTTAAACAACAATCAAACAAATCAATACTGGGAACCGTTTCTTCCCCGAATCATCACGAGGTTACAAGTCCATACTTTAAACACACACACACCCTACCCTACCCCCACACACCTTTTGACCTTTTGCCAGACACAGTATATGTTGGAGGTGAGAAGTTATGGATCACCGATTCTGCTATCTTATAGTGGTAAGAAAGGTATGCATTGTAAGGTTGTACGGATATATATACTAGGGCTGCGACGGGTAACTCGGGTACCCGGGTCGGGTGGGTACTGAGTAGGACCCGGGTAGGCACAGGACTACCCGGACCCGTGGTTAGTCACGTGATATATTGTTTAATGACAAAAGTTTATCTAGAACTCTATGGTTACACTACCAGTCACTAATGTTCGCATTTCTTTCTGACTGTGCACCCATTCCTTCTGATTTTTCAAATGTTTGAATAAAGATATACCTTAATTCAACTTTAGTGTATAAACGACCAGGTTGTTTAATACGTGTATCTAAACACGTTTTGCCAGGGCTATGCTAAAAATATCCCCAATCGGACATTTTGAGACATCTCCTGAGACCTACAGTGGATACCCGGGTGGGGTCGGGTAATAGGGGGGTTAATACCCGGGTAGTAAATTTGGACTCGTCCAAGCCCTAATATATACCAGTACCAGTCTAAAAATTAAACATTTCCCATAAATATACGGAAAAAAGGACATGAAAATTAACTGCAGTTCACAAATACGAAATTACAGTCTTAAGTGCTGGACCCAGTGATAATATAAAACAGTAAGTCTAAAAAACATTTCTCATAAATATATGACAAAAAAGGATTTACACGAAAATTTACTACACATCACAAATACAAAATTACATTGTTCAGTGCTGGATCCAGTGATAAAATGAAATCGTAAGTCTAAAATATAAACATTTCTCATAAATATATGACAAAAAATGATTTACACAAAAATTTACTGCACATCACAAATACAAAATTACAATGTTCAGCGCTGCACCCAGTGTGTGGCCCATCTATCTGAACCTGTCCATCAAATCCCAACATGTCTCCCCAGGCTCAGTACATCTTTCACCTATCATATTGGATTAGTCGTCTTCTAAACAGTACCTCAGACAGAACAAACACAATACACACATAAATCCCACAATCCCTTTCTCTAACATTGATAAAACTGGTACAATAGCAATAATCTTAAAAAGATTTCTGTAACCTCAGCCAACATGGGCGGCCCCCTGGTAGTAAATGTTCGCTGAGATAATTAGCACGTGATTACTAGGTGCTATTCATTGAGAAATCCGTCACATATATTTTGTGGCGAGATTTGGCTGATGTGGTCTGTCCAGGGTGGTGATCAGCGTGATTAAAATGACATCAGCGGAGATTGCGGTTGTCCCTGCATTCATCACCCTCTATCTCGCTGCACCCCCGGCAGCCCCTCATTGGGGGGCATTATTGACGGGACCTTTGGGAAAGGGGGGCCATTAAATAATGATTGGGGGTTAAGGAGGGGCAGGTTTGAGTTGGACCCAGCAATGATAGGCTGTCACGGAGTGAAATAGTCCTGCACCATGACCGTGGACTATATTTATTTTATGATTTTTTCTTCTTCTAGAAATGCATACAAAAGCAAGTCTAGCAAGCTCAAGCTAGCTCTATTCCACAAACGGATTTTTTATTTATTTTTAGAGTCAAGAAGGATATTGTGTAATATAAGATTTCAGAGACTCAGTGTTATACTAGGAGTGATATGGAAAGGGCATTTGTGAAAACATGGATGTCTTTGATAGACATTTGGGTGAGGGACTTGGTCTTGACGTTTTGAATATTATTTTAATTTTTCTGGTTGATGTTCGAGTGGAGACAAAAAAAAGTGCTGCAGGTGTTTTACAGGTATAATGCTGGAAGACCAAGGATCATCGAGTGAGTGAGTGAGTGAGTGAGTGAGTGAGTGAAACCCATGTATCCACGGATAATGCTGACATACCAAGGGTCTCCGAGAGTGAGTGAGTGACTTTGGTGAAACCCATGAGTACAGGTATAATGCTGAAAGACCACCGAGTGAGTGAGTGAGTGAGTGGGTGAAACCCATGTATACACGGATAATGCTGACAGACCAAGGGTCTCCGAGAGTGAGTGAGTGACTTTGGTGAAACCCATGAGTACAGGTATAATGCTGGAAGACCACCGAGTGAGTGAGTGAGTGAGTGGGTGAAACCCATGTATACACGGATAATGCTGACAGACCAAGGGTCTCCGAGAGTGAGTGAGTGACTTTGGTGAAACCCATGAGTACAGGTATAATGCTGGAAGACCACCGAGTGAGTGAGTGAGTGAGTGGGTGAAACCCATGTATACACGGATAATGCTGACAGACCAAGGGTCTCCGAGAGTGAGTGAGTGACTGAAACCCATGTATACACGGATAATGCTGACAGACCAAGGGTCTCCGAAATGGAAATCCATGGGCAGGGAGGATCACACAGGAAGTCTCATGTGAGTGAGTGAGGTGGGGTGGGTTCAAAGCCACTTTTAACAGTACGTCAGTTATATCACTGCGGGTGACAGTTTAATGTCAGGTCTAAGCCGACAATCAAAGACAGGGTGCTTACAAACCAATAATCAGAATAAGTGAGAATCTTGGATTCAAACCCAGTCAGTCCACATATGTTTTTGAATTTAATGATCTACAAATGTTTGGCTAACCATTAAGCTCAGGTACGTTGAAATAATAAATTGTTCAAATATATTGTAGATAATTTTCATGAAGGTGTTTAAAGGACCGGCCATTGTTTTAGACCAAAAATATGTCTCTAGGGGAGGGTCATAGACAGTAATACACATATTTGGGGAGATTCATGAAAAAATGGACATTTTGTTAAAAAAGGTCAAGAAAGTCCTTTTGCATTTTATCTTATCATTGAGGGTCATGACAAAACTTTACAAGAACAATGGGAGGGTCATCAAAACCTGATTAGGGGAGGGTCATTATTTTCAGTGCATTTTTGCATCAAAAACCTCTGACCCACCCATCGATAAATGACCGGTCCCTACGTTGGTTCGGTTCTTTTTGAAAAGATAAATGCTAATCCTGTTTTATGTGAAGGATGTTTTTTAAGACGAACATATATATGTATACGTTAGTTCTGAGAGGGCTTTGACGCCTTTATGAGGTGTTTGCACTGGCCAGAGGTGAGGTGAGGTCAAATGGGATTTAACGCCGAGTAACCAACCTCGGACACAGTATACTGACCACTTGTTTTAGCCCCTTAATGTCAAGCAGCAGGCACGGAAATAACCATCTTTTGACGTCTTTTAGTAGGACGCGGCCGGTGATCGGGACACCGACCTCCCGCTCACCTTAGACGCTACATCTACTAGTTATAAATATGGTAGACTTAATTGGTTGTCACTTGCCTTCCGCTCGGCATTAATGGGGTACAAAAGTACCTGCGGCTCCTGACATAAACTTATTTATTTCCATAAAGTGGAGGGATTGGCAAACAAGCAAATTGTGCTTATCTGATTGCCTCTCCCAAACATGATACACATACAAATAGCAATGTATTGATAGTGACATGAGAAATAGCATACATTGTATAATTGACATTAAAGGTAAGTATTGTTCTGTAAGTGTTAAATTACTGGGTTATCTTTCGTTACTACAGCTACGTTATTATTTACATCCAGTACAACAACATCGCAGTATCATTAAGCAAAGCCAACATCTCAGACAAAATCTCTAAATCGGCAAGAAAATAGAATAAAACAGTGCACTGATTTCAAAATTTCAAGATTTGGTATCTCAGTGGGCTAGCACTATAAAACCAGCTTTAATAGCAGTCTTCCCCACAAACAGACCTTGTACGACCATTTTGAATAAGATTCCTTAAATGCTTAAATGTAAAAACGTACCGTGTGTGCAATTCAACTGCATGAACGGTAACACTATTCTTAGAGGAATGATAATATTGGTTCGGGCTACTTTTCAGAGGGGCGGTCGGGTAGCCTAGTGGTTAAAGCGTTCGCTCGTCACGCCGAAGACCCGGGTTCGATTCCCGACATGGGTACAATGTGTGAAGCCCATTTCTGGTGTCCCCCGCCGTGATATTGCTGGAATATTGCTAAAAGCGGCGTAAAACCATACTCACTCACTCACTACTTTTCAGAATGTCATGCAACGTCGCTAACATTGGACAAGGGTAACAACCTCTCCATTTTGAGTATGTTGCCTCTTTCTTTATTGTGAGTGAGTTGGGTTTAACGCTACTTTGAACACTAGTTCAGTTACATCGTGGTGCATCACGGTGTGATGTGGGATGAAGGCCCGAAGTGATGCAGATCGTAGACGTTTATCATTTTGGTGAAACCCATCAGTATGGTGCTGACAAACTAGGAGTGAGTGAGTTGGGTTTAACTCCGCTTTGAACAGTATTCCAGTTTTATCACGGTACGGGATTCGAACCCACGATCATAGGTTTCTGGCGTGCCCAAAGGACGCAACTCTGCACAGCGAATATTTCGACAATCTAAGAAATGAAATCAGGGCCCCGTTCCACCAAGCGATCTTAGCGCTACGTCGATTGTAACTCCCATTCTTTAA